GTGACCTTGGTGAAGAACTTCATTTTTTTTTTTCATTTATGAAACAGGGCTAATAACATTACCTACCTTAAAGGGCTACGCATATAGTGTCTGACACATGTAGTAATCACAAAATAAGTATCAACTTTTGGTAGTATTGATGTTGTAACTACTGTCATCATGGTAATTAATCTTACTGCTCAGTATTAAACTGCCTTATGTATCTCTTCTGGTCCAGCAGATACTTTCCATTCTACAGAAAATATTTTTTCCCCCCAACCAAATCATGTAAAAATTCAATATTATAAAAATTCTAGTTTGACATTACATTTTTTAACAAATCTCAGAAATAAAAATGCTCTTTCTACATTGTGAGAATGTCTGTAAATCTTTATAATTTCAGGCGGGAAAAAAAAAATCCAAAAATCATTCCTTAGGATTTTTTGAGTCTGGAACAAACCTAACCAGCAGTTAATAAACTTAGCCAGGAATAGCCCATGGCAGGACTATGACATGAACAAAACTTGTCATCTGCGCCCCTCTAGTCTTCATTGTGGTCCTCTCATTAGTTTATAGTCATCCATTCAACCATCCATCAAAGTATGATTTTAAAAAATCATAAAGTTAAAAGTATGATTCTCATGCAAATATAGAATGGCCATATGTTAAAGATTTATTAACTTATTACCAAAGGAACCAATGAGATAATAAGGCTGGTTCCCAGAGCATTTGAAGAAATGGGTTTTTACAGGTTTTTTTGTTTTTGTTTCTTTAAAAGTATGTCAGCATATGATTGCTAGGTAGACACATAACTGGTTAATGTCTTACAGGGCAATAAGTCCATAGCCTGTAGGGTTATTTTTCTGCTAGACAGAAATCTGCATGTTAACACATAACTTCACAATGTCTGGATTCTAGTCATATAGCAAACAGCAAAATCAAACACAGATACATTCTCTCAGAGAATGATGGTAATCCTTGTAGATGCCCATCTAACAATGTCCTAGCATGATTTTGAAAAGATTTGCTATTCTCTTTTATTTTCAAGCATTGGATCATTTTTATTAACACATCTATCCATTTATGTATTCAGTAAACCCTTATTAATATCTATATGCCCCAGGGATGTAGAGCTCTTTAGGACAGTTCCTGTCCTCAAGGAACTTATAACCTAATGGGAGAGACAAACGTTCAAAATAAAAATTACAATACAAACTGATAGGCATATTCCCTTCCCAGGCTTTCTAGAATCCCATCATTACAGCGGTCCACCTAATGCCTACTTCTATACCATGTCAACCCATCCACCATTTTCCCCACTTACATGCTAAAACACATCTCTCAGAGCCCAGTGCATGAATGAGTCTTCTCTTAGATAATATATAGAGATACGTTTTAATAAGGGCCTTCAATACTCAACCCAGTAGAGTGTGTCACATGGAGGCTCAGAACTGGTTGGGAGGAGGCAGGCTGAGCAGGAAAGCAGTGACAAAGTCTTTCCTGTCTTAAAATTACTGCATGTGGGTGACTTGGACATAATTAACTATTTAAGCAGCCCTTGTATTTCAGAAACACTCCCTTGAAGATGTATTTATTTCCAAGTTAATAGAGCAGGGGAGACCTTGCTAAAATTTAACTTGGGACTTTAGAATTCAGTTACAATATGGCAGACTATTTTAGGGGGGAGTGCGGTGCAGGAGCCTGTCTGAGGACACGTAAACTACCTTCACTCTCCCTTAAATGAGTTCTATTTCATGTAGCGGTTGACCTGATTGACTTCAGTTCACCAGCCCTGTTCTCATGCTTTCCCCTATTATCCATGGTCACCGGTGTTTCAGCTCCCTGCGAATACACAATGATTTTTCTCTCTGCATGTAATTCTCCTCACAGAGCCATCTAGAGTAGGAGTCATGTATTTCAGTTCTCTGTCCTTATGGATTCAACTCAGTAAATATTTAGTAAGCAGTTATTAATGTAAAGAACTTCAGGGGAAGCTGTAGCGCATGGAAAAAGAATAATACCCTCCTCCCAGGAGCCCATAGCTTAGTGGGGGAAGACAGAAACATGGAAATAATTCTAAAGCAGTGATCCTTAATCCTGGCTGCACATTAGGATCACCGGGGGAACTCGGAAACATCCCGATGCCCAGGCTGCACTCCAGACCAATTAAATTAGAGTCCCTGGGGTAGGACCCAGGCGTCAGTGTTTTTTTTTAAAGCTCCCTAGGAGAGTCCAGTGTGTTGCCAAGCTAGAGAATCATTGTTCTAAAGCCAAAGAAACAGAAAATGCTGCAGTAAAGGACTAACAAAGTGTTGTATGAACAAAGATACCACAACCATTCTGGATATGCTAATATTCGTATCCACTGTCTGACCGCATTTCAGCCCATGAATGCAGAAAATATAGCCTCTCATTGTAACCATGGGAAAAATTTAGGTCAGTTTGATTGTAGGGCATTTAGAAACTATATACTCCAGGAGGTACGGTCTGCAGGAGACTATGTCTCTAAGGGGAAAATGGCCCAAAAAAGCTCAACCCAGAAAGATGACCTCCAAATTCATTCCACATGCTCTCTCTTTCCCTTGGATTTTTTTTTTTTTTTTACTGCCTGGTCTTCCTGAAGAAGTTCTTGTCACCCTCCAAGCCCCTTTCAAACCTCATCCTTTGTGAAGCCTTTCCTTTTCTTCCTCCTATCCCAAGCGAAATTGGGTCCTGATTTTTCTCTTGCACTTAGCTCCTCATCTGTTTTTCACAGTTAATTATAATTATTCCAGAATTTAATTATAATATGGCAGACAGTTTATTTATACATTTACCCTTTTAGGGGCCTTACTTATCTGTTTTTCCTTAGTACCCAGCACAGTTTCTTGGTTTACTGACTGAAAAAACAGAGCTGCAGTGATTTCAGGCAGAGTCAGAAAGTCATGCCATCATCAGGGGAGACCTAGACTCAGGAATTCCCCGGGTTTCCTTGTCCCATTGCTGAGCAGTGGGACTCTCTGCTTCCAAGAGGTCGGGTTGGAGGAATGAGCAGATGCACTCATTGGAGTGAAGGAGCTGGAGGAAGTGATGGGAGAAGGCCTCGCAGCACTTTAATTGTAGGCGTGAGCCTGAGTGTCGCCTGCAGAGTTTTGCAATGAGAGGAAGTGAGAAACAGGAAGTCCACAGGTTTTAGTGTGTATATTGACTAGAGAAAAGTGCTTGTGCCACGGACGCCCGTTTTTATTTTGGCCACAGCCATCCCCAAAAGCTATAGAACAGCGCTTTCTATCTGAGAAAACTGCTCATCTGTTTTATTTTTCAACTTGAAACCTTTTTAAAAATTGGGTTTCCTTTGGCATTTTGTAAGTTTTACACATATGAAGGTGAAAACATTTCAGTTTTATAAGTACGAGGATCATGTATTCCAGATTATTTTCTAGGACAGTGCTAATTTTAGATCTTATGTTCTGTTTTCAGACTGTGTTTCCTGATTTTTTTTTTTAATAGGGAAAGTATGGTGGTGTTTCCTACGATTAACTATCAACTGGCCAGACTTTTTATAGTCAGATGTCTCATTATCTTACATTTCTCTTTGAGAAATTAAGTGGGGCTGCCTTATGGACGAAAATCCTGAAGGTAACATGGAGCTGGCATTTAGTATGTCTCCCTGAGCTCCAGACTTTTGTTGAATATGGTGTCTTGGCGAGAACAATATATAATATATTAACAACACTCCTCTCCATACCACACAAATCAGTGCAAAAATCTTTCAAGGAAAAACGGGTCATTTAAGAAGTTTTCTTTCATTACGAACTGTTCTTTCATCCCACCTCTAAAACTTCAGACATTTCTTTGTGTCCTCACAGGAACCCGCCAAGAGGGACACCGGGTCCTGCTATAGCCTGCTGCTGCCACAGGCCAGATGGAATTGCTCTGGCTATTATGGGTTCAGTTGCTATGCTCTCTCTTTCTTTTTAACAGATTCAGAGCAAATTAAACCTTAGTGATCCCACTGTGACCAAAGTCACCTCAATTTTAATTGAATGGCCCACAATTATACCATCTTTTTACCTATTAAAAAGTATAACATTTTTTCTCACTGAATAGTACCAGAAAAGATAAATGCTAAACTTTATATTATTATTCTATATTGAAGGATCATAAGCTCTTAAAAAGTTGCTGAGTAACAGTTATATTTGGTTGTTTTTAATCATCTGAATGCCATAAGGTTTCTAGTAATCTGGTTACATTCTTTAGAAGACATCTTGTATGTTCTTCAGTCACTATGTCATTGTTATGAAACAATAACTAAGAATAGCATCAAAATATGTCACTGATAGGTGTCAGGCTATTCGTACATGAACCACATCATCTTTTGGAAAAAGCAGGCTATTTTCAGAGGTCATTAAATGAGGAGCTACTTCTGGCTCGTGTAGAAGTGTTATGGTTGCTCCAAGTGCTTCCATAATGCTTGTGTAATGGAAATTCCGCAGTAAGTAAGGCCGGGGTCCTTCCCAGTAGCCAGCCAGTCTGTATTCACAGATTCCTGTTAGCTATTTCCATAGCTGACATCTGAGCGTTTCCATCTGCCTGCGTTTTCCTCTCTTGCAGCCTCATTATTTTAGTGTTACGACATTCAGGAACGTCTCACTTACTTGCCCAGAATACCAACAGCTCTTCAGATGGGGGTAACACCCTTACCATGAGTCAGGTTTGAGTTCCCTAACCCTCTGTGATCCCCAATAAGGATATGTTTAGGAGTGGGGCTTGATATGAGTTCCCCCACATTTGACTAAGGGGCAAGAGAGGGTGAGGCCAGCAGGAGCCTGAGCTGAGATCTGCTAAAAACAGCTCCTGAAATGAAAGAGAAATGGGGCCAGAGTTTTTTTCTGGAATGTAGTCATGTCTTCCTGCCAAGCACAAGTCCTACTCAGTGACAAATGACAGCCAATCTAAGTGTCAAATAAGATTGTTAGCCTTAGAACTCAATCTGTAGAACCCCATTTAACAGGAGGCTTCATTCTTCTTTTCTTATCTAGAACTAAGAGAAAAAAACTGAATATGGTTTTTGCTCACAGAATGGATAACAGCAAGCCGCCGTTGGTTATTCCAACACTTCTGGTGCCCCTCCAAAACCACAGCTGCACCGAAACAGCTACGCCTCTGCCAAGCCACGACCTGACGGACTTATATGAGGAGCACGGTTGGATGAGCAACAGAACAGACCTGCAGTATGGACTGAAACCCGGGGAAGTGGCCACAGCCAGCATTTTCTTTGGGACCCTGTGGTTGTTTTCTATCGTTGGCAATTCCCTGGTTTGTTTGGTCATCCATCGGAGTAGGAGGACTCAGTCCACCACCAACTACTTTGTGGTCTCCATGGCCTGTGCGGATCTTCTCGTTAGCATTGCCAGCACGCCTTTCGTCCTGCTGCAGTTCACCACCGGAAGGTGGACACTCGGCAGTGCAATGTGCAAGGTGGTACGGTATTTCCAGTATCTCACCCCGGGCGTCCAGATCTACGTCCTCCTGTCCATCTGCATAGACCGGTTCTATACCATTGTCTACCCTCTGAGCTTCAAGGTGTCCAGAGAAAAAGCCAAGAAAATGATTGCAGCATCGTGGATCTTTGATGCAGCCTTTGTGACCCCCGTGTTCTTTTTTTACGGCTCCAACTGGGACAACCATTGTAACTATTTCCTCCCTTCCTCTTGGGAAGGAACTGCCTATACTGTCCTCCACTTCTTGGTGGGCTTTGTGATTCCATCTGTCCTCATCATCTTATTTTACCAGAAGGTCATAAAGTATATTTGGAGAATAGGCACTGATGGCCGAACTGTGAGGAGGACAATGAACATTGTCCCAAGGACAAAAGTGAAAACTATCAAGATGTTCCTCATTTTAAACCTATTGTTTTTGCTCTCCTGGCTGCCTTTTCATGTAGCTCAGCTGTGGCACCCCCAGGAACGAGACTATAAGAAAAGTTCTCTTGTGTTCACAGCGATCACATGGGTATCCTTTAGTTCTTCAGCCTCTAAACCTACTCTGTATTCTATTTATAATGCCAATTTTAGGAGAGGCATGAAAGAGACTTTTTGCATGTCCTCAATGAAATGTTACCGAAGCAATGCCTATACTATCACAACCAGTTCAAGGATGGCCAAAAAAAACTATGTTGGCATTTCAGAAATCCCTCCCATGGCCAAAACTATAACCAAAGACTCAATCTATGATTCATTTGACAGAGAAGCCAAGGAAAAAAAGCTTGCTTGGCCCATTAACTCAAATCCACCAAATACTTTTGTCTAATTTCTCAGAATTCTTTCAATTATTGTTATGCGCCAGAGATTAAAAATCTTTAACTATAAAGAAATAAGCTATTTATATATTTTTTCAATCAACTTCCTGAGGGAAATGTTTTCTTTTGTAAAATGCATTCACTTGCTGATTATAGTTTTTGTGGGTTTTATTTTCCTTACTTTTTGTTTTAGGGGAAGCATTCACCTTGAGCTCTTTTTACTATTGGGTCGTCGGGAAAGTCATGACGCATTTTTGCATTGAAAAACATAGAAAAATACGTCATGACTTTCCCAACGACCCAATATATTATTTACATGCCATACACACACACAGAAAATAAAATGCCTTCCTACTTTTTAATTACCACTTATAATTACCATTAATTACCAAAAAGCATAAACCATACACACAGTCTTTGATTCATGATTCAACACAGTTTTCTAGCTTCCTTTTTCTCCTCCCTACTGAAATGTTATAACTGTGGGCTTCTGTTCCAAATGAAATCCCATGTCACACATTTCAGAGACTTGTCCTTCTTCTAAGCAACATTTAGAAAGTGTTAATATTGTGTATGTTTTTAAATTACCTTCTAAGTAGTCGCTATCCAGATCTGCTATAGAAAGCACTCCATACGTGTAAGTGCATGGTGGAAAGTTCGTGAACTTAATTGTCTGACCTCGTATACAGTATTGGAATATACTGGAACTTGCTGGGCAGTCCTCTGATTGAATTTCATCAGGATTCTTAGGGAAAGAAAGCTTATAGAGTTACCTAATCTCTGTCTGTCTCTCCCTCCCCCTGTCCCTCCCTCCCTTCCTCCTTCCCTCTTTAATTTTCATGTTCCCTTAACTTAAGCAGCTGATGAGGATGCCTTGAAAAATTTCAAGTCAGTGGGATGTTTTTCTCACATCTGAGTCCCATCTAGGCTATGTCTAGGATATTTACTTTCCTTCTTTAAGTTCAAGCAAATGAGCAGGTGCCCTTGCTAGGCAAGCCTAGAAAATGCCAAAGGGAAAAATGACAGATGGCATTTCCCTGTGCTCTGCCCTTTGGCTGCCTGCCCCTACCCCTATACACTAGGACAGCTAGAGACTCAGACACGAGGTCATTTCTGCAGCCAGTGCCTCCTCCCCTCATCTTTCTCCAGCATACATCATCACCCTCGCCAACTCAAACTCCTCGTCTGTGATAACTCCGGGATTTTCTTTCTCTAGTTGCTAGGTCTCCATTATTTCAAATCTAGGACCAGCACATTTTTAAAATGTTCTTACACATATTTAAACAATAAAGAGCTTACAGACAAGACTAGCATGCATTTTCACACCTTAGTTAACAAGACCAGCAAATGATAATTCCAGTTGTTCAGCACTTTAACCTGCATTATCTCATTTTATCCTCTCCAGAATTCTGTGATGTGCTTACTATTATCTCTTTTTTATAGACAAGGAAACTGGAACTCAAAGCTCTGTGACTTGTCCAAGTTGGAATGTGACAGAGCTGGTGTTCACACTCGGGTCCTCTACCTGCAAGTCTGTTGCTCTTTCTTTGACATTACAGATGTCTCTCTCCCACACAAGTGGACAAACCCATCCAGGCCTCAGGGGGCTTCCTGGCTGCTGCTTGGGTGGAAGTCTAACGTTAAGAGGACCTGGCCATTCTTAAAAGGAGAGTCTAGATGAAATTTAATGAGCTGGCCCTCCCCTTTTCCTTGGCTGTGGATAGGTTGTTGGATTTTTGGTGCTGAATGTCTGAGATACAGAAAGAAGCCTGTACCTTCCACCTCACAGACACAGGGAAACGAGACAAAATTAAGGTTGATATTTGGAGTAAGCAACAACGATAAAACATTTCATCTGCAAAACATTTATACAGTTGATGCTTTTAAGCGGAGGTGCTTCTTTCAAGACATTCAAAAGATAAAAATAGTATCTCATATTTTTCTTGTTTTTATTTCTCCGCAACATGTTCTTACTTATCCCATCAGTAAATGGCACTCTAAAAATGACAAAATGTGCCCGATGTTTGTGTCACTTGGCCCTTGAATTTTATGGTTCAGACTTGTTAAAAAAATAGAATTTTATTTTCTTCCTTTGTAAGGGGAATATTATTTTTTAAAGTTAGATTGTTAAAAGTTAAATTTAATTCATTTCAATTTATTTTTATGTATAGTTTAGGTCTCAGTTTAAACCAGAAGAGATTCCTGGATGATTACTAAGCTCCATTCTGTCTTTAATGTTCTATGAGTTTACCCCAGTAAGTGGAAATTCAGTGAGACTATCTTATAAAAACTCTTGTTATAGAAATTACTAGCTTTTTAAAAATCCCCCAAATAATGACAAATTAAGAGATAATCAACTCACAATCAAGAGAACCCCCAAATCTTATGACCTATGAAAATTCAGTTATACTCTCTCAGGATGTTGATAAGTCACTGTATTTTAGTTTAGTTTAATATTAAAGATTCCTATTTTCTCACTTGATCTTGAAATTGGAGAAAACTGGATATAATGCGCAGATTGGTGAATATTTGCATAAGTCTCTGCAACACAAGAGCATTTTTACATTGACCTGGCAAGAACCAGAGTTAAGTCTCGGGGAGGCAGGTTTCTGGAAAGAATAATAAAATTACTCCAGTCTCTTTACCAGGTACACAATGACATGCACCATGAACCCAGATTCATGGAGCCTCCAAACAGGAGTTCCAGAAAGCTAACAACGGCGGCCATGGTTCAGAGTAGAGACAATTCTACCTGGCTCCAGGCTCCCATAGACTCAGACAAAGGGACAGAGTTGCATCCTTTGGGTAGAATTTGAATTTCTCCTTTTCTTCTAATCTTCAGTGAAAGCATTATTCCAACCAGCCTGTACATCCTATTCAGAGGGGCTTCCCTGTGGACCTTGCATCACAGGTTTACCCAAGATGCCTAGACCTGATCCCCTGAGCCACAGTTCTGGCTCAGGAAGGACATTTTTTACTAGGGGAATCTCCACCAAGCATTGGAAGTGGACTCATTTGCCACATAAGACTGGGGTTTTGCCTCTCCTGGTGGGCATAGCCCTTCCCTTTACCTCTCCAGCCTGGATGCTACCTGCTTAAATTCACTTGGAAGCAACATAACCAAGAGGCTCTGTGAGAACTACTGTAAAAGAAACAAAGAATTGGGGACTTTTAGAGTAGAAGGGACATTGGGAGACGTAGCCCAAGCCCCTCATTGTTTAGAAGAGGAAAGTATGACCGAGAGAGGTAAAATTAGAGATAAACTAAAATGCCTTCTGCCAACCAGTCCACCATTCTTTTTGCCATCCTGCTTGCTGTGGCATGATTCATTTATTGGAGGAAAAAATCCTCACTATGTGCAGAAGAATATGAAGAGTCAACAATACCCCACTCTTCAGTTAACCTGCTAATTCAGCTGAGACGGAGACCACCTTCCTGTGCTGTAATTAGAGAACAGTGGAAATGCAAATCAACTTTGTCAAACTGTTTTGCAGAATGACCGCTTGGTGGCACTGTGGCCAGTAGGCAGAGACACGGCCTCTTCATGATGCCTGTCACACTGGTGATTTCAGAGAAGTCCTCGTCTCGTAGCAATAAGACCGTGAAAATTGCTGAGCACCCAGAAGCAGCTGTAGATTAAGTAATCAATCAGTGTGTTCAAAACACAAAGCATCTAAACACTGGAGGAAATTCCAAAATAATTAATACCTTTTACAGACATGAAATCGCTAGTCAAAATATTACTTTAAACCCATTTTACAAATGGTAACATTAAAAAAAAAAAACCATCAGACCACCAAACTGGCAGTAGTGCTACACACACTTACGAGGACCTCCATCTTTTCTGCTCCTTTTTTGATTTGACTCAGAGAATTCATGGACCTTTTCGTAGCAGTGCAATCTAGACGTTCCCTAAATGTTCCTACGCTCCTGGTAGCAGGCAGTTAAATTTGTTTTATACCCGTCTCATTTCCTCAGACTCTCTTTAATCTTCTGACCCCCTACAACCTGGGCCGTTCTGAATTTTTGCTCAACTGAACCCTTCTGTTAAAAGCTCTGTATTCTTTCTCAGAAGCAGCCTATTTATGTATCGCTTTAAAAACTCTATTAACTTAAGGTTATACAATTAGGGCTCACCTATAATCTGAAGATTGTGTGATTTTAGTTCTGCAGGAAAAGGACCCCCAACAAATGCTGGGCCCTGTGGTGACGAGTCTTGTGTGTCTGGTTTCAGGATTATGATGTAGGTCTGGAAGCTTGAAAACATCATCTGGTTTTCAGCAGGCAGACAGTCGAAGCAGTTCCAGCTGCTTGCCCACAACAGCTAGATACGGGAGATTAAAACTCAAACTTTAAGGGATTTTGAACGGGTCTTCTCTCTTCTGCTTCCCTGCTATGTCCTCCAAAGAACACTCTCTTTAAGAAGACTATATATTCTGTTAGATAAGGCCACAGCACAGATACCTGGACAGCATAAAAACAGATGTGAAGAGTTGTATGGCAGAGAATATAGGCAGCATGATGCTGAAAAGAATGGATTATACTCTGTTCATCAGTCTAGAGTCAGTTAAACATCTGGGCTGTGTGATGGACCCTTTAAAAATTAGTAAAAATTAGGCACAAAATTCCTGTGCTATATCCAGCCAGCCAAGTTTTCCTTTGTCACCAATAGTATGATGGTTCCTTTCAAGGGCTCTGGAGTCAACTTCTGTGTTGAATTTCAGGATGTGCCTACCACCTATTTAACCCAGCAAATTATTCTGAAACCCCAGCCTCTTCACTTTTAAAATGGGGAAAATAACAGTGCCCACATAATATTAGGGTTCTACAGAAAAACAGAACCAAAAGGACATAGTTTGATGGTAGATAGATGATAACAGTTTAAGAAGTACATATTTAAGGAATTGGCTCATGTGATTGAGGGAGGTGGCTGGCTTGAAATCTGTAGGAAAGGCCAGCAGGCTAGAAACTCAGCTCATGTTATAGTCTTGAGTTTGGAAACTGTGGAGCAGGCCAACAGGCAGGATTTGATGCTGCAGCCTTGAGGCAGAATTCCTTTGTCTCTGGGAATCCTTATTTTTGCTCGAGGCCTCCAACCAATTGGATAAGGCCTACCCATATTATTGAAGACAGTCGATTTATAGTCAATGGATCGTGACATTCACCACATCTGCAAAGTACCTTCACAGCAACATCTATGCTAGTGTTTGATTAAATAACTCGGTAATATGCCTAGCTAAATTGACATGTAAGACTAACCATCACATCACTTTATAGGACTGTTGTAGTAATAAAATGAGCCCAAATCCATGTAAATAAATCATTCAGTGCATTACAAATCACATGGGAAGCCCTCAGTAAAGGTTATCTATTGTTAGTTTTAGTCACTGATAACCATGAGTCTTTCCATCTTCTATGCCATTTAGCACCCAATTGCCGTGTGCTAACTCCGGTAGAAACAGGTTTTTAATGCCATGCTCAAATTGTGCCAGTTTCCCTTCTTTAGTGGTTTTTTTTTTTTTTAGTTCTGCTAAGATTTTGCAGACTCAAGGTGGAGGGAACAAGAACTTGAATGGAAGGGAGGTCGGTAGTAGAGCTACTTCTATTCACCATTCACCCCAAAGGGATTTTTTTTTTCCCTTGAAATATTTCTTAAGAAAGAATGGTCTAAAATCAGGATACACAAAATAACTTGAGAATGTAGACTTATCATCACTCTTCTGTTGGGATTTCCACCTTGTACAGTAGAGATAAGTGATAGGGGGAAAACCAGTTTTGACTGTTAATTTAACTATTCATTCTAGTAGAACATAAAACCCAATGAAATGGGACTAAGTTGCTCTTGGTCATAGTTAAGTGTAGGCAACTATGTAGCTGAAATATGTAACAACTGTATATTGAATATTTTATTTATTTTATTTTTTTTAAGCTGAGCCATCCTGCCACCTGTTGGCAGCTCAGTGGCTGCTCAGCTCGGGCTGGCAATCGAACCGCTGTTACTGAGAGCTCAAACTCTTGAGCGAGCTCTTAACCAATTGAGCCACTCGGCCGGCCCCTGTATATTGAATATTTTAAATTTAATCAGCAGTTTCTCGTAACTTCTATTTAGCTTACTGATTACTTACTCTGTGAAAGTCATCCTCCCCCTTTTATATAGATGAGGAAACAGGTGGAACGATTAAATAATTCAAGGTGATTCAGAAGACAGATCCAAGACTAGGTCTTTCTGCCTAAATGTCACACTCTTTTTACTACGCTATTCTTAAACAGACATATTTCAGTATTGTGAAACAGACAATTTGAGATATCTCTGGTGAAGATGTTTTATTTTTTCATAAAAATATAATTGTACAATGCTTTTAGAGAAAGAAAAATCCCTTCAATGCCCCCAAATACCATGTGGTTTAACAGTAATCTTCCTCTCTATTAACACTAAAGTAATTGATAATATGCAACAGATTTCTTGTGAAATATCGTATGTATGTTTTTAAATTTTCTTCCCTCTATTTTAACTAAAGGCAAGTCCAGTTTAAACCTATACTTTTTGAAATTAGCCAAATCAAGTCTATCATAATTCAAAGATGATAAAATGCTACATGGTGATGCTGATAACTACTGTCAATGAGCTGGTAAATTGTGATATAGATTTGCTGCGGTAAGATAGGTTCTGATTTAAATATAATAGAAAGATTTTAGATAAAATTGAAAAAAATTAAGAACTTCAACCATATCCTAAAACTTGAACTAGTCAAACTTATTCCATATTATATTCAGTTGCTGTAATATATGGCAGCTCTATGCTAAATTAATGACAGATTATGAGTAGTCTAAATATACAAACATATTTCCCCCCTTACCTTCCTTTCTTTGGGTAAAAAAGAAAAAGAAAACATTATTCTGTTACTCAGAGAGCAAGAACAGCAGCGATCCAGAGAGACGGAGCTTACTGATGCTCTCATCTTCTGTTCCCTCTCAGCCTGTAAGCTGTCATTACAGGTTAAGTGAGGGATGCTGGGATGTCAGTATGCTGCTTCTTAACTGGAATGGGGGAAGAAATGCTCCAGCTGTTTTAATCAGTGACATTTATCAACATGCTACAAGTGGCCCAAGTGTGCAGCCAGCACAATACCCAAAGCAATCAAAACATTCCTTTTTAAAACCAAGGAACTTTCTCTTGGTTTGATCTACTGAAATATACCAAATAGACAGGTTTAGAAATAAACTCAAACTGTAATTTAGTTTCACCGAAAATTACACATCCTCTATCTGAGGACAAAGTCACTGACTGCTCTTGTAAAGATAATGGGGGGAGTGGGGGATAGTTCAAATAAATGACCCTGTAATGTAAAATTACAACCAGAGAAGAAATACTTCAAGCACAATGGAGACATTCCATTGAAGAGCCACATTCATTTTGGAATGTTTGCTTTGAAACCAACTCTTCTGGGGAATTCAAAAGGTACTGAACAAAGCAACACAGAGTACATCTTGGGTTGTTTTGCAAAATAAAAATATACATTTGAGTAGACCAGATGGCAAAACATACCCATTACAATCTGAACACTATATTTAAAACACTTAAACTCTGAAGGCTTGAATATTAACAATCCTTTATCTACATTTGTGATTCTAAAAAGACATTAAATACTCTTAAACCCCCAGTCCACCAAAACACAGAGAGACCCAACAGTCTGGGCTAGTGGTATATCAGTAGTCACACAGGACTAGATAGGGATCTGAGTTTGCAACCTAAGCACAGGAGATCTTTAGGAACTCAGGCTAAAGGGAGGCATTTGATTCAAACGCACAGCCTAAGAGGAGGGGGCAAAGTACTCTGTACTCTGGAACTCTGAGGTCCATCTCAGTTCCCCCTCACAGACTATCTAGACTATGATGCCGCCTCTGAAATGGCCATTTCATAACAAAGCATTATTTTGTTTGGAAGCCAAATATTTGCTTCATTAGAGCCACGAACAATTATAATTTAGCAGCAACAGAGAACACAACTCCTGATTTAACGATGGGAAAGAGAAGAGACAGTGATAAAGTGTCTCAGTGGGGAAATCAAAAAGAGATTCCTAGGTCTATTTGAGTGTGTCATACTATGAGCTTGATTCCTCAACCATCTCCATTTGGTGGTCAGGAAGAAAGTAAATGTAGAGCTGTGGTGGGAACTGGAAAGAACTACTCTGGCCTCCTGCACCTCTTGCCAGGCCCGCGAGCTGGGGCTGTGCAGACTCTGGCTACAGTGTTCCGTGCCAGATGTGTACCCACAGTGTGTTTCTTTCTGACTCAGAGCTCGTTCATAAGGAAACTCAGGTCAGGGAAGAAACTAAGGGTTCTGGTTATTAGATCTACGAGCAATTTGCCCCTCATTTTGTTCCAGATCTCATGAGGCAGAAACTCAATCTCAGCAGCTAATTTCATCCCATTTTCTTCAAAAAAATTCTCCTAGTTAGTTGATTACACAAGGAAATGTGTGTGTACATTCACTCCTGCCCTACCTACATACATATACAGACATACAATAGAAACATACATATATATATATATACTCTGGGTTGTCAAGATGATGTATGCTGCTGAAGTGCCTAAAAGGTTATTTCTTGTTTAAAAATAAAATTTTTAAATTGTTTTTTTCTAAGTATGGATTAGGCCCTAGCAAACATTTATAAACACAGTTTGAAAAGACAGCAACCAAAGTTTTACTGAATAGAGGCTGTCTTGAGGGCTTTCCTGATGGATGTTGTTAACATGTACATTATTTAAAACAGGCATATCGTTATGGATTAAAAAAATAGAAATGTATATATTTGTTAATACATATTCACAGCTTATGCTGGAATGGCTCACAGGAGAAATTATGGTTCATGCAGAAAATACGTTTCTCAAGTAAAAATAAAGAAATAAAATTAGGTCCATAAAGGCTAAGAACTTACAGTCAGTAATCAGCCCACTTGGTTTCTCTTTGCAGGGCAATAAAGAACATAAAAGGAGTGACACCTAAACACACATACACATACAAATACATGAATTATATGGAAAGAATATAAATTAACCAGAAAAGCAATGTGGAGTTAAGGTGCAAAAATACAATTTTTACCCATTTTCCTCTACTCCTGTGTTTTCAAGCATTGCAACATGTTAAATGCCACAGGTGGCAATACCAACCAGAACAGGTCTGAATGTTTGCAAATTTTCTAAGTGTTAAAAGTTAAAGCAAAATCCTTTGAGATCTATGATCACACGTTTTGGTAGAAATTGCAGATTTACAGAGATGACTACTGAGCAGTAGGTAGTAAATGGAGCCAAGAGGTACAATCTTGCCCATTCATCCTCCATAGGAATCAGGATATTGGCTTCAATCACTGGCTCATCATTTTATATGATCTTCACCCTGTAAAAATAAATCAAATTACCAATGTAAGAATGTTTTTAAGGTCAATGAAGTTTAACTAATCTGTTTTAAAATGCATGAATTTTTTTTTTCTAAGTTTGGTATCTATAAGAAGGCTACTTTAAAATACAGACTGAAAGAAAACTGAATTGGGCCAGCGGAGTGGCTCAGTTGGTTAAGAGCTCGCTCAAGAGTTTGAGCTCTGAGCAACAGCGGTTCGAGTTCCGGCCCGAGCTGAGCAGCCGCTGAGCTGCCAACAGGTGGCAGGATGGCTCAGCTAAAAAAATAAATTAATTAATTAATTAAAAAAAAGAAAGCTGAATTGATTTGACTTTTTCTCCTTAATTCAATTTAGATTATGGCAAGTGTTACTTCATCTAATAAAAGTTATCAAAAAGCCAATTATTCAATTTTATAAAAATTTTAAAAGATAAAAAGTTTGTAATATTTCCTTATAACTATTTCAAGTGTTCCCAAAGCAATTACAATGATGAAGAAATCAATACACGACATCTTCATTCTAAAATCATTACCATCTATGTAACAAATGGTGCTAGGACAACTGGATATTCACATGCAAAAGAATTACGTTGGACCCCTATATCATACCATATAGAAAAATTAACTCAAAATGGATCAATGACCTAAACATAAGAGCTAAAACTATAAACACCGTAGAAAAAAACATAAGGGTAAATCAGGACCGTAGATTTGGCAGTGGATTGTTAGATATGACACCCAAGGCACTGAACAAAAGAAAAAATAGATAAACTGGACTTCATCAAAACTAAAATCTTTTGTGTACAAAAGGACACTATCAAGAAAATGAAACGACAACCTACAGAATGGAAGAAATATCTGAAAATCATATATCTGATAAAGGTAAAGAATCCAGAATATATAAAGAACTCTTACAACTCAGCAACAAAATGAAAAAAAAAACCTGAATTAAAACATGGGCAAGGGACTTAAGCACACATTTCTTCAAAGAAGATATACACACATGGCCAACAAGCTCATGAAAAGATGCTCAACATCATTAGTCATTAGGGACATGCAAATCCAAACCACAGTCAGCCTCCACTTCACACACTAGGAAGGCCATAGTTTGTAAAAATGGAAAATAAAAAGTGTTGGCAAGACGTAGAAAAACGGGAAACTTCATATATTGCTGGTAAGAATGTAAACTATTTCAGCCACTGAGGAAAACAGTTTGTAGTTCCTCTAAAAGTTAAATAAATATAGAATTACCATATGACCTAGCAATTCCACTTCTAGGTATATACCCCAAAGTGTTGAAAACAGTCACTCAAATACAGACTTGTACATGTGTGTTCACAGCAGCACTGTTCACAATAGACAAAAGGTAGAAACAAATATCCATCAATGGATGAATGGATAAACAAATTGTGGTATGTATATACACTGGAATATTATGCAGCCATAAAATGGAATGCAGTATTGATACATGCTACAATGTGGATAAACCTTGAAAACATTAGGCTGGGTGAAAAGAAGCCAGACAAAAAGTTATATACTGTATGATCCATTTATATGAAATATCCACATTAGGTAAATCCATAGAGACACAAGGCAGATTCATAGTTGCCAGGGGCTGGAGGGAGGGGGTAATAGTGCACAATAGCTTAATGAGTTTGGGGTTTTTTTCGGGGGGGGGGAAGGGGTGAAGTGTTTTGCAACTAGATAGAGGTGGTGGTTTTACAACATTGTAAATATAATAAATGCCTCTTAATTGTTACTTTAAAATGCTTAAGTTTATGCTATGTGAATTTCACCTCAATAAAAAAAAAATTCTTGGGCCAGCCGAGTGGCTCAGTTGGTTAAGAATTAGCTTAAGAACATGAGCTCTGAGTAACAGGGCCACCGGTTTGATTCCCACTTGGGCCAGTGATGCTGCGCCTGAGCTGAGCTGCTGCTGAGCTGCCAACAGGTGGCAGGATGGCTCAGCTGGTGAGAGCAGGTGCTCCTAACAAGACTGCCTGTTCGACGGTGGGCTACGCCCACCCGCAACTAAGACTGAGCTCGGCACCTTGAACTTAGAGGCCATGAGCTGCCAACGAGAAGCCAGATGGCGACTGGCGCCCTCCACAACTAAGACTGAAGAACAACAACTTGGCTGGTCCCCTCCCGCAATTCCCCAATTAAAAAAAAAAAAATTCTTTACAGTGCAGGGCTACTGTGCTAGATAGGGGCTAGACTAGGTGAAGACACGTTCTACCATTATAATTGTGTTGACCTTGGATACCTCACCTAGCCCCTCTGCTATTTCTTCATCTATAAAATACAAAGGATAATTCCTTAACACAATTATTGGAAGAAATAAGATAAATTTAAGTGAAAATGCTTGGTAAGCTGTAAATCAAAATACAAATAAGAGATATTATTATTAACAATAACTAGAATGGTACACTCTCACTTATGGAGTAGGTCTCCTTAAAAAAAAAAAAAATCCCATAAGTTTATCAGTTGTTCCTTACAGATCCCGTGTAAAATGCATTTCAATATTTACAATCTAACACCATTTCACTTGCTAGTTAGTGTATTACAAATGACATCAACATTTTATTTACTTAAAGACATACACAGGGAAAAAAAGACATACAGAGGAAAGTGGTCAATAGATAACCTACCTTACAACACTCCTCTACATATAAACTCTCCCTGTATTGTACTCACAGGAATTGCTATTAGCGTCTGTTTTCCCAGCTTTCGTGTGCCTGCTTGAGTTCTGCTGAGATTTGCTCTGCTCTTCTCCAGTGAGTAGGGCCTTTATTTCAGAAGGGATTTTTCCTTGGTCCATTGCCATGCACCACTGCTTGTACTAAAATATGTAAAATATATTAAGTAAAATTTTACTAGGCAGAGTTAAGGAACCACTAGAAATGCTAGACCTAAGAACTCCCATACCTAGAGGTGAAATTGGCTGCTGGGAATTCCACCCTCCATTGTATTTTCTGTTTATAATCTAGGCTATGTATGAGGCCTGCCACCTTTCAGAAGAGGGTGGAACTACTGCTGAATCTTCCTCTGATATACTGGAGTACTGCTCAGACTAAAAAGTCCCCTCTGGTTAAAAAACATCTCACAGCGTGCCACTAATTAGAATTCATCTCTTTTTGTCAATGGTCACATTATTTCTATTCCTAAAACAGTTTTGTAATTCCTTTCTCTTTCATAAACATTCACTAAACATCTACTTTCTACCAGAGTGTGTTCTGTGGACTTTGGGGGTATACAAAGATTCATCAGTCCAAAGAGTATGTCCTCAAGTGGCTTACACTGGAGAAGGTGGGAAATAATTTAAAGCATAAGTTAAATTCAATATATTTTTAAAAATCTACTGAAGAGTTTATATCTGAATTCTCTTCATGTCCCAACCTTATTTTCTTACCTTCTAAAAAGCCCGTCCCAGTTTTGTAACGATTATGGTAGTATTCTCTCTCTCTTTCTCTTCCAACCTGTTACCTCCTCCCCTGAGCTCACAGTAATGGGGTTTTAATTCTCTTACATTTCTACAGCCACTACCCAAAACATGAATGAATGAATGAATGAATTTATTTGTAAATATGTTTAAACACAAATGCTGTAATACTATGCATATTGTTATATACTGTTATATTGCTTTTTCCACTTAGCAATATATTGTAAACATCTTTCTACATCAGTAAATATATATGTACATTGTGCTTTTTACTGGCTGCAAAGTAGTCCAATATATGAAGGAAGTATAGTTTATTTAACCAATCCCCTATTATTGTACATTTCGGTTATTCCCCTCTCACCACACCCCCCCACCCCGGCCTTTTTTTACTATAAACAATCCACAATGAAATAGTCCTGTATATTCCACTCCCACCAGCAGTGTACAAAAATGCTTATTGCCTACATTCTGGCTAACTGATGAATATTCTTTCCCATGGATGGGTGAAAATTGATATATAATAATACCTTGGTTTGCGAGCATAATTCGTTTCAGAAACAAACTACTCATGTTGCAAGACATCGCTCGTGTTTACCACGTTAAAATGTATTAGAAATGTTTGCTCGTCTTGTGGAACACTCACAAACCACGTTACTCACAATCTGAGGTTTTACTGTATTCTTGTTTTAATGTATGTGTCTTTCAAAATACAGCAGCCATTTATGATAAAAACTCTTAGCAAAGTGGGAATACGAGGATCATATCTCAACATAATAAAGGCTATTTATGATAAACCCACAGCTAACATCGTACTCAACGGAGAAAAGCTGAAACCATTCCCGTTAAGATCAGGAA